AATAGAATAACTAATACTAAATAATAATAATAATAAAATAATAATAACTAATAATAATAATAAAATAATAATAAATCATTCTATAATATTTCTATTTCCTTTAAAAATTTACTCTGTAAATTCTATGTTCTAATCGATTCAAGAAGTTGGGTATACCCATCATCTAGCAACTTGATAATATGTATTGCAGTCACATACTTCAATTGTAAGGTTATTTCTTTTGGTCACAACTTAAGAACTTCATATATTCTAAGAGCACCTTTCCAAGTATCTTTTGCTCTTTTTGTTACTTGAGCATTCTGGATAAGGTTTTTAATTTCAGATAGGTTATTGAACTTTGAGATTATTTGTCCTAGGTAATAGTAAGCTTCAATTTTCTTGTTAAAATTATGTCAAATATGTTCAGGATTAAATAAGAACTTTAAGATTTAATTAACTTGTTCTTTTCATGTTTCTTCAGAAAAAAGTTGATAATGCTTTGAGTTGTTGATTCTGGTGTCTGTTTCAAATCATTTATTATTTGAGTTAGATGGTTAGTATTATTACTTTTTAACTCTGTAGGTACTTTATTAAGTAGAGTTTTGATTAGCGAAGTTTGTATTTCTTCTAATTGTAAAAATTCATCGATATTGAATTCTACAGGAGCTTCTATTATGAGGTTAAAGTCGATGACTTTTTCTGGTTCTTTATTACTCCAAAGAATAATATTTTGAAGTGATATATCTAAGTAGTTTTGGGATGCAGAGTCTTGTTTTCAGATTTGAAGAAAGTTGTTTAAAGCAATTACTGTTTCTGGTTGTAATTTTAAGAATTACATTTTTAGGAAAATTTGTATGATTTGAGGTGTTTATATAAATTTCTAAGTATCACAATCTTCAAACAATTGTAACATTAAAAAATTTGTGTAATATTATTGTCTTTTCCTCTGGTTTTAGAAATTTCTTTCAGAAATTCCAGTTATTCAATAAGAACAAAAGGTTCTCATGTTTGTTTTTCATAATATTTAGCAAGATAATCACTATTGTAGTACTTTTGTAATGTTTTTTCATTGTCATTACAAAGTTTATAGGCACCATTGTTCAATTTTTCTTGAATAATAAAGGGTCCAGTTTTTTTATCTTTGAATTTGGCTAATCGAGAATGCTCTATATCTTTTCTAATTATTCATACTTTGTTACCAATTTCAAAAGTTTCATGATGGATTTTAGCATCAAAGTATTCTTTCTGTTTCTGTTACAATTTATTGGTCTTTTCTCTTGTATTATTCTGCAATTCAGGTAGCTTGTTGATAAGCTCAAATGCTCAGTGCAATATGCTATCTTGTAAATCATATTCTGTTTCTTCATGGAGTTCAACAGAGAGTAAAGCTTCAATTGAAAAAACAGCTTGTTATCCATATACAAGCTGAAAAAGAGTATATCCAGTTGTAGCATGTTTCTTTGTTCGATAAGCAAGCAGTACAGCAAGTATACATAAGTTCCAATCATTATTTTCTTTTACTTTAGCGAGTAATTTACATAAGGTTTGATAGGACCCTGAACAATCTATATAATGTCATATTTGAAAAAATGCTAATAGCACCTTTTTTTTAAAAAAAAGTTATATTTATAATTTAGGTATTGAACATGAAGGTTATATTTTAAAATAGATAATTAGGTTTAAACTATATTTAAAATTTTGCTAATAGTAGTTTTTTTAAAAATCTTATATTTAATCTTTTGATAATAAAGGTTTAAAATTAATAATCAGCATATGATTTCAAATAAAATAAATAACATATTTATTTGAATTATATAATTTTTAAATTTTATTTTTTTAAAAAAATTAAATGTCATAATAATTTTATTATAAATTCATAAGAATATTTATTATTGCTCGGTCAGATGACCTTATTTAAACAAAATAAATAACTTTATTTAACAAAGTTAAAAAGCATATGAGATAAGGGCTCGCTATCTTAGCAGCTCTAATATACATTATCAATACTCCAAATTTAGAGACGTCAATTATTAAACAATAGGTGAAATAGACATCAATAATACTTTGCATATCCCACGAAACAAAGAAACAACTACAACAATTCATAGATTAACTGTCTTCTATGTAGAGAGAAAATGTCAATCATTCTTATAGTATAAAGAGAATCAGTATATAAATAGGGGTCGATAACTAATACGATCTTTCTTTTTTACTTTGAATAAAATAATGATAATGAATCTAAGAATTGCAAGGATAAGAAATCTCAACAAATGAAATATGATAACGATGTTTTAACTAAAGGGCACTTAGGGGACTACTATTATTATTTATTTTGTAGTTTTGAACTCAAGAAGAGTTACTTATTCACAATTTGGTTGAAGCATTTAAATATATTTTTCTTTTACTAATTTTATTTTGCATTTTTCTACAGTATCTGCCAATACACTATTTCTGTCCAAATCTGCCAAATCTATTTCTGGCAGATTTAGTTGATTTTGAGTCGATCGACCCAATCCATTTTGGCATTTATGCATAATACTGTATACCGATACAGTATTAGAATTAAATAACATTTATTCTCACAGTAATCCTATTTGGGTTAGTAGTTATTTGCATCATAAAACGCTATATAAGATACCCTTGATTTGTACTGGGTATGTTTCAAGGTTATTTGTTGTGGTGTTTTGTAAGAGACCCAGGTATAAATCAAGAATCGATTTAATAACAAAAATTTTCTTTTACTAATGGGCTAATATATGTTCTTCACAAGATACCCTTATATAATATACACTCCTTCGTACAAAATATCTGGGTATCTTATATAGCATTTTACGGTATTTAATACTCATAATGATAATCTTGGATATATATATTGGTCTCACTTCACAGCAGGCTAAAACAACATATATTAAATAATGGCTATTTACTGTTCCACACCCATTGTTTGAAGTTTCTTTACTGATTCATCGAAATTATAAGTTGTAATATGAATAGTTGTAATACATATACAGCATCTTTCAAAATTTTATTTTCAAAAGAAAAACCTATAGCATTTTTTAGATTATTGTCGAATTAGAATTCCCTGAGTTAATTTTATTTCCAAATTTATGCAAGGCAAATCTTTACATAGTTAGAATATAATTAAATAAAAATGTATCGCTTTCATAAGATTATAGTTCTTTATTAAACATGAAAAAACAATATTGTATTAGATGCATTATATGTGTTTTATACAAATTAGTCTTAACAATTATTATACTAATTGAGTTTAAAAATGTTTAATTATGCTAAAAAAAAGGGGTTTAACTATTATTATAATTTTGATCAATATAAAAATTGCATTTTTTTTTAATTTAAAAATTTAAATTTTTTTAAAATTTTAATGTTACTTATTTTTATAAATAACTAAATACATGCTTGAGCATCTTCAAAAACATCCTTATGTTTCCCAAGTAATTGAGGATGGCATGGCTGTTATCTGTATTTGTGGAAAGCAAATTGTTTTTAAATCAAAATATAATAAAGCATATCTTGATTCTCATGTTAATGAACCAGGATGCAATTGGTCTAGTGGAACACATGCTATAACAGAGTTTTTTTGCTCTAGCAAAAAAGACTGTAATTCCAGAACAAAAGCATATACTTTGTAAAGGGTTGTACGAAGATATTCATATTAATTATATTGAACGTATTTAATTTATTTTATTATATAGTGGTGCACCACATAAAGATACTATTGCATGATCTATGTTTCTAGATATATTTCTAGAAAATACTCCAGTTCGATATGCATTGCTTAATAAAGATCAACAAGAACAATTAAATTATGCTGAAAGAATGCAAGCAAAATAGAAAATTAAAGGAAAAGCAGTATATGCACAGAATTGTGAAAATTATACTTCAAATATTTTAGAAGTTTGTAATTAGTGCGCTTATATTAATTCAAACCAAGTTTTTCATATAAGTTACATGTTATAAAAATTAAAAACATATAAATTTATAATAAATTATGTTTTATATTAATTAGAATGCTTTA